AAACTTCGTATTAAAATATAATAAGTCGGAGTAATCAATTAGTTAGTAAAAAATTTGAATGTTCTCAATATATAAAAGCGTTTAGACTTTTATTAATGTTTTATATAAATGGCATAATATCCTACAGAAACACCATTACTCTAGACAACAAACGATACAAAATCAGCATCCTTCTACATAGTTATAAAAATGATAACTGAGTTTATTATAGATTTAATAAATAGTATCTTACATTATACTAAAAAGATAATATTGTTTTTCAGTTTGTACTATATTTAAAAACATTAATTTGAAATGAAAATTGACAAAAATATTAATTATTGATAATATTTTTGTTTTCATTCAATTCGAAATTAATATTTTTAAGTGTAGAGCAACCATGAAAAAAACATATTTTACTCTAAAAAAGACACTTAACTAGAGAATACTTAAAAGCATGTATAAAAATATGAACAGCCACTTTCTCAATTATTTTCGACTTCAAATTTGTACCGCGTAGCTTCCGGGTCGCAATGATTAGCTTCGTCGAGAAGGCTGATCTTGCTACCATCGTTAATAACAAAATCATTCCCATCTATAACAAGATAGTACTGACCGGACTGGCGGCTGCGGTGACACTTCCATATTCTATCTTCACTCCGATTATCTCTAACCGAGAACTCCTCCTTTGGAAGTTTGTCAAATTCTGAACGGCGAAGCTTCAATTTGCTTCCCCCACTCTCATTTTTTTCGACGGTCTTCCTAAATATCTCACCCATTGCTACTGCTGGGTGTTGGCTACGTACAAATGCTTTGAATTTGAGAACTTGATGAGTGCGGATTCTTTTGGATACCCTGCATGTGTATTTATAACAGCGAGATCACATGGATAATTCTATTAAGCATTGTCTTCACATGCATGTGGGTTGGCTTTGCCGAATAATGGGTGGATATCGATTGTCATTTTCAAAACATGGTTGCGATAAGTTTCTTGCGAACCAATCGTTGCAAAAGTCTAGACGCGCGTATTGATGGAGTTCACACTCAAATTCCAATATTTTAAAATTAAGGTAGTAGGTATACATAAAATGACGGATGTAATTAGAGATAGATTAATCAACCAGTCCTAACTGCTGGCATCCGCGCTAGCTTGCGCGGACAATTTTTAATTGATTTCATAGACTTGAGTTGTTAATTACTATAATGTATATAGTTAGGATTTGATTATACATTCGCGGCATTTAAACTCATGATTAATTATGACATTTTTAGCGCATTAATTTATGTTTGGAGCTCGAGTCCCTAAGGTCGTTGGTGGACCATTAGCTGACCGAAAAGTTAAATATGCTCTTTACAATTAAACTTTTCTTTTTTTTGAAAGGCACTTTGGCCGGTTCAACTTATCTTTTGCCAACTTATATACGATATTTAACTTT